AGGTATAAGACAAGAGACAACAGATGGAGGAGTACCAAGAAACAATGGAATGATATTGGTCAGCAAGATAGGCAGTAGGTTCAACAAATCAGTGGTCTGGATTTTTGTAGGTGTCATGGCAAAGGAGGATTTGAAGGAGGATAATGAGGTAGGTTTGTGGAGGTTCGTGGGGAGCACCTCCCAAGCATGCGGGGTAGCCTGGGAGAAAGCACAAAGATTCTTGTTTGAAAATGTAATAAGTGGAGGAGAGAGGCTGGCATCATTGTCTCACCAGAGGTGGGAGTCAGCATCTCGATAGTGAATGAAAGATAAGTGGGGTGCAGATTGATGGTAAAGGACATTAACAGTGAAGGCAAGAAGCTTATGTTTAATTTGATAGAGAAAAGGGAGGCAGTGGAGGAATGCAAAAAGAGGGGCATGACATGGTCAAAGCAGTGGGTTAGGAAAATGAAATTTGCAACTGCATTCTGAATGGATGCAGGGACAAGATTGCATTTGTCAAGATCAGAGAGAATAATGTTGCAGTAATTGAGACTTGAGATGATGAGAGACTGGGTGCGAGTTTTAGCTGTGTGAATGGATAGGAAAGGCTGTATCTTACAGATGTTATACAGAAATAATCTGCAATATTTAGACATAGTCTGGATGTGAGGACCTAAAGAGAGGATCAAGTTGAAGATGACAACCAGGTTATTTGGCTGCATGACAGGCAGGGTGGTGGTGGTGTGCACAATGGTTGAGAAAAGAGGTGGAGGGAAAGGAATTGAAGGTGGTAGATTGAATGCTGTGTTTTAGTCATTTTGAATTTCAGCTGGTGACCAGACATGCAGAAGAAGGTGTCAGAGAGACAGGCAGAGGTTTTAGTTTGAACAGAAGGAGACAGGTCTGGAGCAGAGAGGTAGATCTGTGAGTCATCAGTACAGCGATTGGTAATTGAATTTGTGTTTGAAGATGAGTTTACCCAGAGATAAGGTGTAGAGGGAGAAAAGAAGGGAATCCCGGAAAGATTGCAGTGGAAACTCCACAAAAAGCTGGATGGGGGATGAGGAGGATCCCCTGAAGGACACAGTGAAGGAGAGATGAGAGAGAACCAAGAGAGGACAGTGCTGTGGAAGCCCAGGGAGGAAAAGATTTCAAGAAGAAAAGCATGGTTGACTGTGTAGAAGGCAGTTGATAGGTCAAGGAGGATGAGAATGGAGTACTGTTTCTGAGCTCCGGCTAGGAAGAGGTCATTAGAGACTCTGGTGAGAGCAATATCATTTGAGTGCAAGTGGTGGAAGCCGGATTGGAGAGGGTCTAGAATGGAACTGGAGGAGAGGAACTCCAGATAGTGATTCTGAAGTGTGTTCAATGAGCTTAGAGATGAAAAGGAGACTGGGGGAGGGGGGGCAAATGCGGTCAAACATGTTGGGGTTTTTTAAAGATGGGAGAGACTGGAACATGCTTGTATTGTGAGGTGAAAGAGCCACAGGAGAATGAGGTTAAGGAGAAGAGTAGGGGAGGGGATGAAAGTGGGTATGAGGGAGAGCAGGAAATGAAGAGGCACATGGAGGGGTTAGAGGAGGAGAGCAGACAAGAAACTTCTGCTCTTGTGACCCTCACCTCCACCTCATGGTCTGATCCATGGTGGGGAGTGTGAGAGAAGGAAAGGCCTCTCTGTAGGAGGGCAGCTAAAGAGGCAATGTTGAACAAAGGGATCCAGGTCTCTGTGAGAGCAGGAGCTGAAAGAAGCAAGATAGGAAGAGGTTCTGGATTGATGTAATTTTTTTTTAAATAAGAGATGGAGTGGGTGATCCAGAGACATCAAGAGAGGGGGAAGGAGGGGGATGGGCATGAGGTTAGGAATGGAGGCACAAGAGGGGCAGAGGTGGGGTCTGGGACGGGTGCAGGAGGTGGGGAATGGAGGGAGGGCCACAGCTGGGTAAATATCATGAGAGGTGAGGAAGGGGGTATGGCTGTGGCTGAGAAGAGGGAGAAGATTGAGGTGGAAAGGGGAAGAGGACTAGATAGAGGTGATGAGCGACTGTAGAGGGGTGAGAGAAACCAGGAAGGGGTGATGGAGCCAGTGGGGCAAAGGGAGGATAACTGATGCTATGAGGCAGAAGATGGATGTGGTGAGAGCTGTGGATGGGTGGCAGAAGGACAAGATTTCAAAGTAAATAAATTCCACAACCAGCCCACAACCCAGGAGGTGTAAAGGTATGTGCCCAGCCCAGCAGCTGAGTCCCTGCTGGCTAAGAAGGGTCATTGACACTGTTAGAGGCCACTCCCCCCTGTAGCCATCCCATTTTTGGGTGTGAGGGGGTAGGGACAGGCTGCTTTGCAGAAGCAGCATGGCCCCCAGCCCAGCACTGGGTCCTTGCTGGCTAGAAAGTCCCCCACCCACCCAAATCACAGTCTTCCTCACTTCCTAATCATGATGAGTTTTTGAAAACTAATTTGTGTCTGGGCTAGTCCCCCTTGCACCCTGCCCCATCTGTTCCGATTATAAAATGCGTGCACAATGGCACTATTTTTCTTGAGGACTTGGAAAACTGAACCAGTGTCTTTGCCCACATATAACTGTGATGGGATCAAGCAATATAAGTAGTGGCCAGCAATAGAAGCTGAAGTAGTTAAGCTTCCCATGCCACACGTAGCACAACAATTTCAGGTTTTAATCAGCAATTAATGCTTCACAAATTTGTTATTTACTATGATTAATGCTTGTAAATTTTTGACTTGGCTGTTACCGTTTTAGAACACGGCACGTTTCCTGATTGGCATGTTAATTGTAGTCAAAGTGTGTATCGTCTCCTGCTGTTGAGAGACATTGTTTCCTAAGGTATATGTATAAAGGTATGCTAAGAGAGTGAGTAAGAGTCGAGGCAATTCACAGGATTTTGTCACAGTTGTGTTAGATGTTGGAAGCAGCTTTCCTCCATAGGCGTATGTGCATCAGGTAACACAGAGCAGATTCAGGTAGCATCTTTATCTTTGCTGAAAATGCAAGAGAGGGCTACTAGCCACAGTGACCAACTGAGTGGGCCAGATCCTCAGCTGGTGAAATCTGTGTAGATCCGTTGACTTCAGTAGAACTACATCATCCATTTGAACCAGCTGATGATCTCTTCATGGACTTTCAAATGTATGTGTTGAGGGGAAAAAAAAAATTTATAATTTAAAACCAAATGAATTTTGGTCATCATGACTATAAATACAATTCCCTGGGTTCTGATACTGGAGTTCATTAGAATATGCTTTGAACTAAAAGTTAAAGCATGGTAATTTAGAAGTTCATGGATGAATAAGATGGATAATTATGTTTGGTAGAATTAGACAATATATGCATTTGAAAGGATTTTCAGATATTATTGCTGCTTTATACATTATACATTTAATATAAATGTGCCTTGAGAATATATTGAGAGGGACAAAGTGGGTGAGATTGGTGGAAGGGACGAGCAGACCGGAAGAAGAGCTCTGGGACGCTCGAAAGCTTGTCCCATCCACCAACAGAAGTTGGTCCAATAAAAGACAGTACCTCCCCCAACTTGTCTCTGTCTCATCCTGGGACCAGTGCAGCTACAGCACTACTACAAACAGCCTTGAGAATGTATTGCCATTATTATATGATTTATTTACACGTGATAAGAGCATGCATTGAGTAGGCTATACTGGCATGAATAGTGTTATAAGCTTGCAGTACATGTGTTTTATAACCATCTTTATATGGGAAGAAAGTAGTAACACTTAATCAGGTTTGAAAGTTTTATAAAACAATTACTACCAAGAGACCAATATGTAGAGCCCTGCAATTGACCAACTCCCAGGTAGGGTGGGCTGCTGATTGGCCTACATTTCCCAGCTCCCAGGATTCAACCTGGAACTGGGGCCATGTGGATCCTCTTCTGCTCCATTCCAGCAGCCCACCCTACCCATCCTGAACTAGGAATGGGAACCCGGCCTGACAGGTGCTGCGGGTCTAGCCAATCTCCAATTTGGGGATCAGGAAGGAATTTTTTTCTCCTGGGGCCAGTTGACTGAGAATTAGGGAGTTTTTCGCCTTCCTCGCAGCACCTTCGAGCCACAATTGGTTAAGTACAAAGGTGCTTAGTACTTAACTGAGGTTCTTGGGTTGAGTTGTTAATTCCTCACAACTTGCAGCCTGTTTCCAGTGCAGTCAAAAAATAAAATGAATAGTTCGCTGAGGTAGAAGACCTGGGATTTTGGTGATGGCCCTTGGGCTCATGGGATAAGGTGAGACTTTGTCGCTCCCATGGCCAAGGTCCCCATCCCTCTACACCCTCTGTCTCCCTCGCCATAACAAAGGGTGCTAGGACTCAGAGAACTGAATCCTGGGCGTTGGGGGAGTAGGCTGAGGAGAGCCTACACCATGGTATATGGTCAGAGCTCTGTAACCCCTGCACTGGATCCAATTAAATGCCTGGTATAGGAGAGTATGAGTGATGGGAAGGTAGTGCCCCTCCCTTGTGTTAAAGCTTAATAAAAGGTGCGGCCAGCTGTTTAATGCCATGCATGTGTCTGTCCTCATTTTGCCACTGTGTCCACATCAAATGACGTTCTTGTCAGTTTCACACTGGCCCACACAGTTCTGAATAGCCATGGTGAAAATGTGGTCCCGAATTTTGTTACGTTCACTCTGCTTCTGTTTGGCAAACTCTGAGCAGCAGCAGAGGCAGTGGATCTGTCTGTCTGCACACCCAGGAAGATGGCTCTGCATTAGTTCTCAATGGGAGCTTTTCTTTGTAGCTATAGGACTATTTCCTGGTTTCGTTTCTTTTTCTTTCTTTAAAAAAGAACAAAAGCTTAAATTCTGCATACATTTTTGGCTTCCCCCTTCCCCCAACCCACTAAGAAAGTTTCCTACTCACCCTGGTTAGTGTGAGAATGGGTTTTATAAGACAGAGTGCCTTGCCCAAGAAAATATTCTTATTTGGCTTGTTTTGTTACAGATTGATTCTAATCTAACAACTTTTAATGCTATTTTTCTCTTCCAGTTTTTCCCATATATCCTGCTACTAGTTGCTATCCTGTTGTATCTACCATGCTTGTTCTGGCGCTTCACTGCAGCACCTCATCTTTGCTCAGATCTGAAATTTATTATGGAAGAACTTGACAAGGCCTACAACAGGGCAATCAAAGCAGCTAACAGCTTTCACAGTGGAGACACTAGAGACCCCGGTAGCCTGCCTCCAGCTGTTAATGAAAACTTGACACAGAGGTAAGGTGCTGTAGCTTGGTATTTTTGGCCTTTATTTCTTTTAGCCTTTAATAAGTATAATATGTTTGGAACACTTGTAAATCACAGACACATACTGTAAATTTATAGCAGACATTTTAAAGATGAGCTGAAATGTTTTTTTAAAACTGTGATTAAAAATTTAAGATCCCAAATTGATGATAAAATGTGTGTGTGGAGTTAGAACTTACAAATAGCTACTTTTTTCAAACAAAATACTTGAAAATCAGGTCTTCTTCCTCTCCCTTTGTAGACCAGTCCCAGCCTGAGGTGGCTCTGTGTTTCCTTTGCTACAATGGATGTCAGTATTGCCTAAAACAGCATTAGGAAGTGCTGGTGGCTGCATTCCTTATCTACTGGTATAGTTATTTTTCACATCCTTTGATGTGGAAAGCCACTACTGGGCTCCCCTGCCATGCTGTTCTTCTCAGAGTTGTTTCTGCAAAGACTCCTTTTTTTCTTTTTCTTCTTTTTAAAATATTTGTCTTTTCCAGTCTCCCTCTCTTGAATTAGTTGCTGCACTGTTCTAACCAACCTCAGTTTCACAGTCTCCCTGGACAGTGCAGCAGTTTCTCCTCTTCTCTTTCTTCAGACGAAATAAAAATTACAAATAAGAACTGAAAATTGTTTCTTTAATAGTGAGTAGGCATGGATCTCTGAAGTTAGGTCCTGGCAGGTAAAATGCCATTTTCATCTTAATGTAAGACATGTTGCAGCTGTGTCCGTTCTTTCTCTTAGGTTGGATTTGAGTATTAATGCTTGAGTTGCATTTAAAAATTTCTTTTTAGTATTTTACTTATTCTGTTTGAGGCTTGGGCATTTTTCCTGTTGACCTTTCTACTTGTCTTGTAAACAGTTGTATTCAGTCCTAATGAATGTACCGGAATTCTGGTTTTGAGATTGCCCTCACATCTGTTTTACACAAGTGCCACTTCATTGATTTCAGTAGAGTAACTCGTGATTTACAAGTGTCTGTGAGATCAGAATCAGGCCTGTTTTTTTTGTTTGTGTGTGTCAAAGTGTTTGGCTTATTTAATATGGCAAAATGATTCTTGCAATGATTGGTCTGGTTTTTTTTTTCTTTTTCCAGTTTGTGGGAGATATCTGAAAGCCACTTTAAATACCCCATTGTGGAACAATACCTGAAGACAAAGAAAATCTCCAAAAACTTAATAATCAAATATGTTGTTTGCCGTTTACTAACACTAGCAATTATCCTGTTTGCATGCCTCTATCTGGGCTATTATATCAGTCTGTCCTCTATGACTGATGAGTTTTTGTGCACCATCAAAACTGGAATCTTAAAGAATGACACAACAGTTCCAGAACTAATTCAATGTAAGCTTATTGCTGTTGGTGTCTTCCAGCTACTCAGTTACATTAACTTAATTGTGTATCTTTTGGTGATGCCTCTTGTAATGTATGCCATGCTCGTCCCATTCAGGCGAAGCTCAGACATTCTTAAAGTATATGAAATTCTGCCAACGTTTGATGTTCTGAAACTCAAGTCAAATTATGATGATTTAAGCCTCTACCTCCTCTTTATTGAGGAAAATGTAAGTGAGCTTAAATCATACAAGTGCCTCAAAGTGCTGGAGAATATTGCAGGCCCTGGGAAATGTAACATAATCCATCTGTTGCCAAACCTTGGTACGATTAAGATGACAGATACTGTAGATGGGAAGCCAGCAGCTGTAAAAGAAAAGCCTGAAGAGAAAATTACAGAAGAATCAGAAAGGAATACAACAGAACTACAAGGTAAAGTTGGGCTGCTTGTTGTGTTTAAATGGTGTATCCATTAATATAGGCCTGAATAAGAAGAAAAATTGTTTCTTATATTATGGAATTCTGCATCTAAGCAAATAGACGCCTTAGAATTATTGTGTGCAAAGACTTAAATGTGCTGTATAAGAAAATTGACTAGCTTATACCTAACAATACAGTCTGCTTATATTCTTATAACTTCAATTAAACCACAGGAGGGTTATGTTGTTGAAAGCTATTGTAGTATTTTTATTTGTTTGTCATAATGGACCAAATTTTCAAAAATAGATGCCTAAAATGTGCCTGCAAAATAGATAAGCAAAGATGCAATTTTTCCACCTACAGCTTAGGCACTTGCTTTTGAGAAATGTCACTTCCAATTAATATGGTGTTTGTGCAATAATATTACTTGGGTAATTTGAACTGATGGGTAAGGAAAAAAGTAAGGAAGTCATGTGCCTGTCTTAGCTCTCCTGCATGATTTGTGGGTAGGGGTCTAACCTGTGGCAGAGGGCTAGAGCCAGAAGAGGCTCTTAGATCTGTGTTAGCCCTTCCTGACTTCAGGTCTCATCAGCTTTAAGCCTAGCAGAAGTGGTGGTAGCAGCTGTTGGTTACTGAGTGATTGATCCAAAGGACTAAGAACAAAGTAGTAAAGTGTACAGTCACTGTACAATGTGTTTGCATTTAGAGATAGAACTAAGATAAGATGAGGAAGTTAGTGGTGTCATGATTTTGTTTTAAAGACGGTGTGAAAGGCTGGTATTCTTCAGGCTACAGGAACAAAGATGCATAGAAGTTAATCCTCCCTCTTCTCTCTCACACACACGCGAGATCCGATGGGGTGGTGTTGGGGAAGGGACTCCTTTTAGCGCCAGGGTAGCAGCAGAGCCCCATTATTGCTGGCTGTCTACTCTGTGTGGCAAGGGAAACTATTTATGTATAAGCCACTAAGCCAGCTAGACTTCTCTCATGCTCCCTGTCCAAACCTCCCCTGTTCAGGGGTGGAGGGAGCCCATTAAGGGGGTAGTACTCTGCACCAAAGGATTCCTAAGGCTTGATCTACAGTTAAAACTTACAGCAACATGGTTATGACAGCCAGGAATATGAAAAAAACCCACATTTCTGACCGACATAGGTATGCTGACAAATCCCGCAGTGTAGATACAGTTAGAGGGATTCTGTCAGCATAGCTAACATCAGTAGGGGAGGTGGTATTCCTGTACTATCAGATCTCCTCCTTCTGTCGCTATACACTGCATCTATGCTAGGGGGCTACACAGGCATAGCTATGCTGCCAACGGCCCTGTAATGTACGCAGGGCCTCACACAGGAAATAAGGCACGCATTTTTATCAGAGAACCTAGTTGGAACAATTTACCAAGGATCGTATGACTGGCATTTGTTAAATCACAATTGGATATGCTTCTAAAGGATATACTCTAGTTCAAATAGGAATTAATTCAGGGTGGTTCTGTGGCCTGAGTTAAACAGTCAGTCAGACTAGATGGTCACAGCAGTCCCTTCTTGGTTTGTGATCTACAAGCTGGAATGCAGGAACAAGTTGTAGAGTGGGGGTGCTGAGAGTCATTGAACCAAACTGTAAACCTTGTATATAATGGAAACCACTTCAAGCCTGGGGGTGTGGCAGCACGCCCACCCCCACCCCATCCCTAGCTCCAGCAGCTATGTCTACAGCTCCTTCATGACCATTGCCACATGCAGAGGGACCACTCCAGTTCTACTGCAGTGGGGCCTTACTTGGTCACAGAGGAGAGGGGAAAATCTGTCCCTAAGTGATTTCACCAGGATCATAGGGTGTCAGAATCCAGAATAGAGCACTTAAACCATAATAGTCCATCCCCTGCCCAGACCTGGTTAATTCTATTGAGCAATCATGATAATACGAGAATAAGTGTTCAGATACTATGGTAATGAGGGTAGCATATTTTATATTACAGAGCACTCACTCAGATCCTGCTCTTTCTACAGAAACATAACCTGGCTTCAGATAATGCTCTTTCCACTTATGGTGTTGATTGTGATTCCAAATCGCTGTTTGAAGGAAATTACCAGTCATGTTGTACATGGAGAGAGAGAGAGAGAGCCTCTTCCTGCAGTGGCGGGAATGGCTGGGAACTCTGACCATATTTAGCTCAGATAGGAGGGAACTGCAGATGCAGCTGTGGAACAATAATGGAAACATCAGGAACCTGCTGCCAATATCCCCTTAACCAATATGTTTTAGAAGCATGCGCTAACATTTTTAGGAATTCTTTGTAAAATGTCCATCAGTGACAACTCATGGTTAGCCTGCATAAGGAATTCATGAAAGATACTATGTTAGCACTGGAGAACACTGAGATTAAGTCAAAGAACAGTGTCCAAGGCAGGGGATACTTAAATAATTTTTCAGCACAGTAGTGATACTGTCTCTTCTGCCTAATATAATGGAGGAAGCATCAGCTTAAGAGAAATGTTCATGATGTAGTATTCTATGTCACTCCCCTCCCCCATATAAACACTTGCAAAATAAAATAAAAAATCCAAGATGCCCTAACAACAGGAATGTTTTTATTAGAGTTGGTCAGAACACTGGTGACTAACTGTTTGTTGCTGGCATGTGCTGTTTTGTCAAAGCTAAAATGTATCGATATCAACAGGAAAGTTTCTGAGGTTCATGGTGGATTCTCCAGTCGCTGAGAGGGAGTAACTTATTGAAAACCTGACCTTTTTGAATCTGAAAACTGATCTTTCAACTTGATTCTGTTTTGTGAAAGTGTTCAAGAGGTTTTTGTTGTGTTCCGATGTGGAATGAAAACAAATGTTGAAACTCAAAAGGTGCCATGAAATGGATGTATGGTTCACCAGTCAGCTCTCATTTTTATAGGTTTTGTATGAAGGTTGAGTATGATGATTGTGGTCTTTGATCTGCACTAGGAGGACTAAGGGTCGCATTTAACTGCCCCCACATTTTCGCCTGCCTATAGTGATATTAGCAGGATTTAATAAAAGATTTTACAAACCGAGGTACTGATTCTAGTTCCTTTGCACAAGAACAAAAAAGGCGCCAAGAAGACTTCTTTCCCACACCTCAGAGGACAGGAACAGCCAGAATCCTAGCACTACAGACCACC